AAAAACAATTCGATCATGGATTACAAAAAACTCTATCATGGGTTACAAAAAAAGCAAAAAACAAAAAATTCGATCATGGATTACAAAAAAAAAACAAACATTTCGATCATGGATTACAAAAAGAAAACAAACATTTCGATCATGTATTACAAAACATTTGATCATGGATTACAAAAAATTCTATCATGGGTTACAAAAAAAAAACAAAAACAAAAAATTCGATCATGGATTACAAGAAAAAAAAACAAACATTTCGATCATGGATTACAAAAAATTCGATCATGGATTACAAAAAATTCTATGGGTTACAAAAATTTGATCATGGATTACAAAAAAAAAAAACAATTCAATCATGGATTACAAAAAAATCGATCAAGTATTACAAAAAAATCTATCATGGATTACAAAAAAAAATAAAAATTCCGTACGGGAATCGCCGATTCACTGTACAGACTCGCCGATTCCGTACAGTGAATCGATGAGTCACTGTATAGAATCGTCCGGTCCTCTCTAGAACCGGACGATTCCCGTTTTTTTCGTCGATTCGATCCGTCCATGGCGATTCCCGAGTCGAACCGGGCGAGTCCGGTTCGACTCGACGTTTTTTTAAACACTGGTTTAAAGAGATTTAGAAATACTTTAAGTATGCAAGTGAACTCATCCAGCTTGCTGGTAAGGTATAAGTGGACCTATCCGGGACGCCGGTAGGGATTAAGTGGACTCATCCGGTACACCGGTGAGGTATAAGTGGACCTGCAGGGATTAAGTGGATCTATCTGGGACGCCGATAGGGATTAAGTTGACCCATCAGGACGCTGATGGGGTATATAGGTGACCTACTTGGGACGCCAGTAGGGTATTTTGTGAAATCCTTTTAATTATGCATTGATGTTAAAATGTGATATGTATTTTAATTATTCGAATTATACTTAATTATGCATTTTTGAAAGTGAAACTGTTAATGCATTCCTGTTAATAGATCTCCTTTTTGAAAATATTGATATCTTTCAATCATGATTATTTTTAGGATTATGATGATCACTTACTGAGTAGCCAAACTCATCAAATTATGGTAAACATTTTTTCAGGATAAATGCAGATTCATTCTGAGTGCTAGTCAAGATTAACCTTAGAAGATATTGTTGTTGTGCTAACTTTCTTTTGTTACCTTGTAAGAATTCGCCACTGTAAATTTGTCCTATCAAGAAATATATATATGTTTTGACTGACACATCTTTAGAATATCAGTATTGTAAATTCTCGGGGTGTGACATATATCCTACTAATTTATAACATCGAATACAAATATAAAGGGACAACAAAGCATGCCATTAAAGCTAAACCTTGCCAGCCTCTAAAACAATAATAAAGCATCACGAGCAACCCCTTGTGTGGCTTAGGTATCAACCTTCTCATTAGATTTTCTAAACAGTTAGTGCTACACGAATGATACTTTCAATCTCCTATATAGGGTGTGCCTTAGCATGAATATATAATGTTAGATCACAATTCATGATACAGATATGACAAAAGTTTTTCTGTGGCTGCTAACCAAACAAAAGTTTTTTCGTGGCTGCTAACCAAACACTATTGCCCTCATTTCTCATCCAAGCTTGAAAACGACAAATAATTATTGTAAAAGACCTCCAAATGATTTTACCCACTTTGGGTAACAATGGGAGATTCAAATGGTCTATGGTATGTCATGGAAGGTTTAGCCAAATATCCATCTTCCAGTAATACTGGCATCCATATTCCTTAGGTAAAAAGACATGATAAGAAAAGATGATCTCCTTATTCACCTTGCTTACACAATATACAGACACTCACTGTTATATGTCTGCTTTTTATTAGCTTATTATCCACCATAAACTAAAAATATTCAAACTAAGAAAAATTGTTTTTTTTTTTTTAGGGGTGAATATGTTTTCTTTGCTTTCTTTGTAACTTAAAGCTGTTTTCTTATAGATAATTTTGTTATATTATGTGCTTGACACAAATATAAGTGTTAGGAACATCAACTTTAAAATTGATCATTGAGACATGCTGTCAATTGACCAAGTGTTAGAAATGCCAAACTCCAATTTAACCTTATGAAATGTCGTATATGGAAGATGGAAGGTGGGAATTCAATTGATATCAGGGGTGCATTTGTTTCCATTGAAATTTCAGCAAAATGACCCATTTCCCACGTTTGTGGAATGAAAAAGCTGCTCCACCCACTTTCATAGAAATGAACCCACATACTGCTGCTATAGAAATAAATGATATTTTGTAGAAAATCTATTTCGTTTAGGTCGAGATATAAAAAAAAGAATTCAATTTACGAAAGATCTATCTCTGTTGAATTTATTTTCCAATATAAATTTCATAATTGACAAACCTTTTGTAGAATGGGCTTTGAAAAGAAAAGTCAACAAAAAGTCTGTTTTTAAATCTCTTTCATATATTTTCCTTTGTTTTAAACTTGTCCAATAAGGTTTAGGTCCTCCTAAATTTTTGTCCCATAAATCTAATATCAATTTTTAATATTTTTAAATTATACCAATCCAACGATCTATCACAAAAAATAGAGTGGATTTTAAACTCTTTCTTTACCATGATTCTTCTTAGCTGGTGCACCAAAATTTTCTGACGTAAAAATTGCATGAAATTTCAGCCCTAAGAAACACGCAAACTCGGCGATTTCTTTGACTCATTACGGTAAATATCTCCAAGAAACTCAAATAATCGGCGATGTTTTCAACTTAAGTCGTTACTAGCGGTGCAATGCCGGGATCCCACTCGACCTAAGTGCCACCTCAGCGTCGCGTATAATTAAATACGCGGTGAGCCTTCCTTGCTTTGGTTAATGACGAAAATAGCACTGTCTTTTTCTAATATGACCTAGATATCCGAACCTTTTAAAAAAGGACAAAATAGCCTATTCTTTCGCCAGAATAACAATGATACCCTTGTTAGTTATTGTTTGATTGGGAAATCCATCACGAAAAAAATTTATATAAAGATGCTATCTTATAACGTAGAACTACGGATGTCTTTCAAAAATCCATAAAAAAAAAATAGTTTTAATATTGAAAAACCCTTTGATTGATCATCGAGATGTATATCTATGAAAAATAAAAAGATTTTAAGTCTCGGTAATAGCGCATTTTACAACATATTATCTACACCATCCATTTTCAAGATTTTTTATATGTTTATAAATCTATTTGATTTTAAACATTTTTTAAATTTAAAATTATATAATTACATATAAAAATAGATTTTGAGATAATCTTAAAAAAAATTTACATCAAAATTATATACTATGATAAAATTTGAAAGGCACCTTACCTCTACACCTACGGAGGCATCCATATGCCAACCGCACCCATTTATCAAAGTATCTATGAGAGGAACTATTTATATTACATATATTTTTGTTTAGTAATTTAAAAAGGGTTTGCATACAATGAGGTTATTTACATTTTGTATAAAGAGGTCATAATTACTTATAACCATTCCATGTGAAATCTGATAGCTGGGGTGTCTTACAAAATTTGAGAAAATTTCTTTTGAACTTTGAGCTTAGTTAATGAAATAAATGCAGCCACTCAATTTCACATCCAATGGTCAAGATTAATTGTGACCACTTTGTACCAAAGGTAAATGGTTTCATCATATACTTCTCCATTTAAAAATGCTATTAAATTACAAGTGACCATATTTCATAAAAATCGGTTAAGTACTAAATAGTTGATAACTTGTGTATTCGACATTTTTCTCATTTTGATTTGAATTTCTCAATTATTTTATAATTTTTAGCAAAAAGGTTTATGAAAATTAACATAGCAAGTCATAGAATATGAATAAAAATAGTATATCTTGCAACACATTATCTAGATCGTCCATTTTCAAGATTTTTATATGTTTATAGATCTACTTGATTTGAACCATTTTTCGAGTTTAAAAATTTATAATTAGAGATGAAAATAGTTTCTCAAGCCATCCTAATAATTCTTGATACCAAAATTACATTTATAATAAAAGTTGGAGGTGCTCCTTAATTTGATTGTTTAAGGTTGCAACCTTATGCAAACTACACACTTTAAATAACATAGAGGAAAGCACAAGGATGAATCCTTTACGTACGATTGCTCACAACTTGACTGTAAAACCGTAAAATTTATAGTCTTAAGCCTAATGAACATAATTTCTATATCATTACTATCGCTAGGTTGATGTTCAAGACCTTAGCTTAGTGAAACAAAACACAAAAAATGAAATATGCAATTTTTGTTTCATCTTGATCAATCTTCCATGCCGATCGTAAATAGTTGGGATAAGACTTTGATGATGATAATTTGATCAATCATCCAACCAAAGATATAAAGACCATTGTAATGCAGTAGGATCTCAAAAATACATTGGTCTATATGGTCGTAATGGATATGAAGGCTGTAATGTTATTTTAAAGATGAAATTCATCAGAATTTACAAAAGATATTAATTATTTAATATTTTATATAAATCATGTTATTTAATTTCAAAATTCGATTAAAACGCACATAACCATGTGGAATAGTTGAAAAAATAAATTATCAAATTATTAAAAAATAGGTGTATTTTGATAAAGTTTTAAACCTCAGCTCAAGCACGTGAATTCCTTCGTGAATTCCTTTGTATGTCATAAAGAAGAAAAAGAATTTCAAGTCCAAAAATTAGTATATCTTATAACAAGTTCGCTTGACCATCTAGTTTCAAGAATTTAAAGTGTTTTGATTTGCTCAATCTCTATTATATTTATTAATATAATAATTTTAAATTTTATAATAAGCCATAAAAATAGATTTTCAAACAATCATAAGTTTCTCGTACCGCAATATATTTTAAAGTGTACGTTACGACATTTTGTGTTAGGTTAGGGTATTTTAGTAATTTTCACTGATGTTCTCTTTTGCTTTGACGTTATCTGTCTCTGTTTAAGCGTCTGAGCGACTCTGCCACTTGACAACGGGAGGTGGAGTCACCACTACGAACCTTCTTTTCTCGGTCAAATTTCTCTCTCTCTTTCTAAAATCAATTCTCTCTCTAAAACTCTCTCTCTCTCTCTCTCTATCTCTCAAATTCTCTCTCCCTCTCTCTATCTCTCAAATTCTCTCTCTCTATCTCTCAAATTCTCTCTCTCTAAGTTCAGTGACCAATTTCAGGTCAATACCCGTTCTCTCTCTCTGTCTCTTGGAGCAATTCAGTGTCCATTTTCACGTCAACCCTCTCTCTTTCTCTCTCTAAATCCGTCGCTTAAGTTCCAGTCAATCCTTCCAGATTACGCTGTCTCTCTAAAGCACGCTTTAGTGTCTGAGCTTTATTTAAAGTGTCCATTTTCTTCTTCATATTCTGCATCATTTTTTGCTCTGTTTCCTCAAAATCCCCCCTTTTCTCTCTACTTCCATTTTAAAAAATCATTTTGTCCATTTCACCATAAAAAAACCCATTTTTTTTCATATGTGTTTACCTCATATCCATTTGATTATATCGTTTGGGATCTCTTAAGAATGTTTCTATTTGCATGTTAGTATGCAATATTTTTCGTCCATTTTCCTGAAATTGTTTCTGCATTTTCTTGTATTATTTCATTGCAGATTATGAAGTTTTTGAAGTATAAATTGCATTTCATAACTGTTATTGTTTCTTATCATTCAGTGAATCTTGGGTTATTTGTGATTGCTCTGCATTTTTCCTGTGAAAGATTTTGAAAATTGACGGGTTTCTGAGGTCTTTGTGTCATTTACTTTTCATTGGAGTCTCTGCAATTTCAGTTTTTTTTTCAATATTTGTATTTCTCTGCTGAAAAATGAGGTTTTTTATATTGGGTTTAGATATCTGAATTTAATACAGCTCTCGAAAATTTTTGTACACAAATTTTGGGTTTTTTTTCTTTTTGTTGTTTTTCCCATGTACATTGAAAAAGGTCCTAAGTTTTTCATGGAGAGTTCTGTGTCCTTGTCCAAGTTCTAGGGTATTGTTTTTTACAATTCCTGTAACTGTTGAACATCTGAGCTCTTTAACATAAACTCAGAACATTTAGGGTTTCTTGGTATTTACTTGCATTTGCTTTTTCCAGGAAAAGTGTCTTTTTATGCAGAAGTCTCCATCTCCATTTGAGATCTAGGGCTTTTTCTCTGGTTTTTCACCATTTAAGGAGTTTTTGGTTGCATAAGGATTGATGATAATCGAAATTTCAGTCTCAAGTAGCTTCAAAATTCATGGCCACTGTTGCTAGAGTTCGTCTGGTCTATTGTCCGAATTGTCATCACCTTCTTCCGGAATTACCAAATATTCCTGTTTACCAGTGTGGGGGATGTGGAACAACTCTCCAAGGTAAGCTCAATGCCCATTTTGGCTTGGTTGTCCAACAATAATTATTGTTTATGATCATTTACTTCTCATAGTTCTTATAGTATTTTTTTTTTTCTTTTGATTTCTAATTTTTTTGTTTGATTGATCTTTGGGTATTACTTCGCACTGATGTTGTCTGGCCTAAAATTTCCATATATAACTCTTTTTTGGTATGATTGTTGCATTTCTGCGTTTGTTACTGGAAATTTTCCTTATAATATAGTGGTTTCTTCAATTCAGTGGTGAATTTTTCCTTATAATATGGTGGTCTGTTCAATTCAATGCTTATGCTTTATGTGGTAATCAGATGCTTCTTTAGATTTTTTCAAAGCCTTTCTTTTGTTTTGTTTCTTAATGAGATTAGAGTTCAATAAGTTCATGCTTCTTCCAACATTGTGCAGTGGAATTCATGATGAATACTTGTTCATATTATTGGGAAATAAGTGGAAATTTCCCAATTACATTAAAATTCGTGGATTAAAATCTTCTTGGTCTTTCTGTTTCTTTTTTCCCCCCCTTTTCCATGCCGTTTTTTTCTCTTTTTGGCGACTTGTCTCTCATTTTACTGGTTTAATTTGTTCTTATACATTATGTAGTTTTATATCCTGATATTCGTGTCTTTTGCAGCAAAAAATGGGGCCCTTCCAGCCCTCACCTCCTCTAAAGCAATAGAAGACAACTCAACTCAAAATCAATCCATTGTATGTCCCATTAAAAATGGATCAAATGCTTCAAGCAAAGTTCTCACAATTTGCTCAGATGAGGCTTCTACATCAGGTTCTGAGCATGTAAGTGATCGACTTGACCCACACAAAGAGATCGGCTGGTCTAAAACAAATGGGGATTCAGGATTTCCATCATCTCCAGATGTGATTAATCATAGAGGAAAGGAGGCAGCTTTTGAGAATGGGGAGCTGTGTCCAAGGAATAAAGCAGAAACCCCACAAGATAATTCAAAGCAAATGAGAAATGGAGAAAATAAGGAGATCTCTTCGCCACCTCAAAGGGCGCAAACGCGTAACGGAGAACAGCAGGAGGCTTCTCCAAAGAGAAACCCATCCATTGTTTCTCCTCACAGGCGAGCTCTTGGATATCGATCTCAATATATGGGATCTAGAGAGAAACTTAAGGGTCTAGAAACTTATGGTAATCATGAAGACACTTTTGAGTGTATGAGCAATAGCAATGCTTCAAGACCCAGCAGTGGCTCTTCTTTTGGTGACCAAAAGGTTTATCTCTCTAGAAAAGCCTTTCTTAAACAAGACGGGGGATTTTATGGGTCACCCAGAAATGGAAGGGAATTAAGTAATTCAGATTCCTTTCAGAGCTGGGGTAATGGGAGTAGCCCTAACTGGAGTTTGGATGGGTCAGAACCTCCTATGTATGAGATGCACGACCATGAAGGGAGGAATTTTGATAAGTTTTACCCAATGCCAGATCAAGTGCCATTTCGAAGAGATGGGTTTTCAAGGGGTCAACAAACTGAACCTATGTATCGAGATGAGGGTCCATCGAACTACGTGGAGGATCACATTCATGATGGGTTCTTTAGACCCCGCATGCATAGAGGAAAACCAGCTCATGTAGACAATCGGGGTATCCTGGCTTATGAGGCTGATCAAGATTCTTTGTTTCATGCTGGTTCTTATTTTGGGTCTGATAAGATTTTCAGTAATCATAGGGGAGCTCACCAAGATATGTATTGGCCTCATGGTTTTGAACATGAACCTCCACATTATTCCCCTAATTATGCCATTGCAGAGGGTCCAAGATTCTATAGGCACCCTCATGGAGCTCGTGTTAATGGAAAAATGTCACCATGGCCTTATGGGCTCTCTCAAATGCCTCCTGGTTATTCATATATGGATATGGATCGAGAATCTCCAAATGCGCATGCACATAGCCCCATTCCCAACCCAATGTGCTCTTGCTTACATTGCTACAATGAAAATTGGCAGAATCCTGGACAAATTGTATGTAGTCATGGATGTTGTAGGGCTGGTAGTCACAATATGCATTCCCATCCTTATGGTCCTAGTCCTATGGATTCCCCATTCCATGTTCATAGCCATAATATGCACCCTTGGGAGCATAATATGCACTCAAAAGAGAAAAGGTTAATGGAGTTTGAGCCTGCAAATAGTCACTACAAAGAGAAGGGGAACATGAAAAGAGGAATGGGATCCAAAGGGGAGGCTTGTCATTGCAGGCCTATAGCAAGTGGTGCTCCATTTGTGACTTGCTACAAATGCTTGCGGTTGCTTCAGCTACCTGAAAATTTCCATGTCTCCAGGAAGAAACACTACAAACTGAAATGTGGTGCGTGTTCTAGAGTGCTTTCATTTTCTCTAGAAGAGGGAGGGAAAATGGTACCAAAACCAGCAAAAAGTGAGAGCTCTCAAGGTGAGTTGGGGTCTATATCTCGTGGTAGTGCTACTTGTTCAGATACTTCTAAGCCTATGCCAGTCAATGAGGACCATTTGCAAGAGGAGCCAACTTCTGTTTCTGAAGATTATGACAATTCAGTCGGTAAAAATTACTCTACTGAGAGCAAAACTGCCTTCCCTTCTTCATTTCCCTACCCCCAAGATAATCCGAATGAGAGAAAGCACTTAGCAAGTGATTCTCCCAAGCTGATCAAAGATAGAATTGATACAACTAATGAGCCAAGAGAGGTGCCCAGAGGAGGAAAACAGTCATTGGGAACACCCGTTCCAGGCTCCCCACTTCATGAGCATTTTGGGTATTCTTCACCTAGTGAATTGCTTCGTAAGACTGATTCAGAGAGGAAGAGTCTTGAACATAGTGATCGGCATAAGGATTCGGAACCTGAAGAATCTCCAGATACCACGGAAATCAGTGAAGAAAGTGATGACCCATCAAAGAAGTCAAGTAAAGGTGGTGATGCATCTATTGGGGGGTTTATAAAGAAAAAGTTGAGAGACTTGGGTCAAGGATTGGAAAGTATGAAGTTGAAGGTCTCAGTAAATGGCAAACCTATACCAGACAGTCTGGTTACGAAGGCTGAGGAGAAAGCGGGGTCTATTCAGGCAGGAAACTATTGGTAAGTTCAACGCTGTGTCCTGCCTATGGTGTGTATAGATATACACTTCTTTTGGGTAGTTCAAAGATAGGAATTGAACTTGAGATTCAGCATTGCTAAAGTCAACTGCTAACAACTCAAGCCCAAGTCCGATTCCTAACTTTGTATAGTGATTTTGTTACTCAGCTCTTGAATATGGTTAAGGTAGTTGCATTTCTTCTCTTACCCAGAAACATGCTAGATTTTTCTTGGTTATTTCTAAACTTTCACTCAAAATGATATAAGGGACTGATTTTCTTATCTTATCCATGGCATGGATAAGAATATTTGCTTTCCTTCCATAGCATTAGGTGCTATGGAATGTTTGGACTTTGGAGGTCAGACTCTGAATACAACATGTAAAGGGGATATCTGACTGCGGAACCTGCATGTGGAGGTCCATTGTTTTGTTTGTATAAAATGGTCAAATACGTGTACATGTGTTTGTTTATGTATCTTACATAATCTGTGTGTTGTAAAATACAAATTCATTTAGTTGTTGCTATACTTGTAATTATTTCAGATGTGAGGTTTAGTTCCATACTCTAGAGTCCCTGATGTAAACCCCATGTCTCTGGTCCTTTTATTAATGTGAACAAGTCGAGATGTAATTCTCAAAAAAACGAGTCAAGATGTGGTATATGCAGCAGTTGGGAGCTTTTCATTCATCAGAGCCCCAGCTTTTTATGTATAAGACTCAATATGTATTATAGTATCATTTATCTGTCATAATTATGAGTACGGTGTGTATCTTTTACATTTATTTTTACGTTGTGTCAGTGCTTGATTGGCGTGGATGGTGACATATAATAAATCATAAATCCGTCATTCATGAGTTCAAACCGTGTGTTTCATTACAAGGTTACGTCTGGTGCATGCTTTATCTTTGTGCTTCACTATTCAGCAGATCTTGGCACATTATCCGGTAGCAAATGTACTGAATGTAATTTTAAAGATTAACAATCCACAACCCATTGGACATACTTTTTCTATCATATTTTGACTGGTGCTTATGGATATCCTTCTAAGAAAAGGGGATGCTACAAGGTTTCGTCCTTAGCTAGAGAGGGACATCTTAGACAATAGCTAATAATTGGAATACAGATGAATCATACTTCATGTGTACCTGATCATTAAAATCCTTGTAACCTTCCCACATTTACTAATAAAAAGAAGGGCAGAGAAAAATAGCCCCTATGTATTTGTAATACTATTAGCATGCGACAGTGTTACTTAATGAATGAGTTCCAGTTGGTGGTTGACCATCTCAAACTTTGGATTACATGGACGCTGATTCAAGACCAAATTTTATTTGAGTTCTCCTAGAATTGCTGTGACATCTTTGATCCCAGGACGTGATCGGTATTATATTCTATCTATTGATTCTTTATCCATTTCCGTTTGAGAGTACTGACTTAGTAGCACTATTCTGCACTTCTATTACCAGGTATGATTACCAAGCTGGATTTTGGGGTGTCATGGGCAAGCCATGCCTCGGCATAATACCTGTGAGTTAGAAAATCACTTGTGAGAACACATCAATGAGTCATTTAAATTATTGAGCATGAAATCAGTTTGAGGAAATCGCTCTTTTAGGATGTGGACAAAATGCTTATTTTTTTTATTTTTTATTTTTTTGTATGCAGCCATTCATTGAGGAATTTCATCATCCCTTGTCTAAAGATTGCGCCGGAGGAAAAACTGGTGTCTTGGTGAATGGCAGAGAGCTTCATCAAATAGACTTGGATTTATTAGCAGACAGGGGTCTCCCAACCACTGAGAGTAAGGCATATATGATTGATATCGATGGTCATGTGATCGACGAGTTGTCTGGGGAAGAACTCAAGTCTCTTGGTAACCTTGCACCAACGTAAGTTGCAGGTTCCACTTGAACTTGTGATGATATGTATTTGCTTGCTCAAGTTGACAATTCATTTCTATTTTTGTTATTACATAGTACATGCATACATAGATACATAGATACATACATCGATATATAAATACATGAAATATAAAATGAAAGGATGGAGATTTGGAAACAGTGTTCAGCAGAGATACTCAATTGGTGTCTTATATTGCTTGCTTATGCGAGAATACCAACTATCTAAACTGATTCAGCATAGATTATTGGCATATTTGTCGTAATATAGCTCTATAATTTGGTTTCAGGATTTACCATACAGATATACTTCACGGTGTTTCAAATTCATGTGTCTTTGATTTTCATAAGTAATAGTTCAGTTAATCTTTTTGAGCTTCTTCCCTTTTTTTTTTTTTTGTGTGAATGTCTTTATGCAAAATGGCTTAGCTAACTAAGGAAGTACATGCTGATTCAGAGTCAACAGAGAAGGGCGTGGTTTCGGTATGCGGGTCCCAAAGCACTGGATGTAACCCTTACCTGATTCTTAGTCATTGACTGCAAAATGTTACCTAAAGTACATGTGAATCTGGTTGCAGTTTGGGCAGCTAGTTCAAGTGTTTGAAGAAGTGGGACCTCTTTCCATTAGATTACATTATTGAAACTATTCTGAGGGTCCTGTATAGTGGAAGATATCAAAGGTAATCACCAACTGTCGATTGCTAATTCTGCTGTGATTGTTATCTCTCTCTAGTAATAGACTATATTTTAGTTTTTAAAAGGATGTGGTTTGTATAAAGTTGCAACCTTAAACAATCAAATTAAGATGCACCTCCAAATTTTATCTTAAATATAATTTTGGTTTAAAAAATTCTTAGGATGGCTTGAAGATCTATTTTCATCTCTAAATATAAAATCTTAAACTCCAAAAATGTTTCAAATCAAGTAGATATATAAACACTTGAAAGTCTTGAAAATGGATGGTCTGAGATGGTCTGAGATAATTTGTTGCAAGATAGACTACTATTTTTAGGACTCAATTTTTTTTCTATTTTTCATATTCATATATCTTGACATATCAATTAGAGGGTTTTCTAACATCAAAACAACTAATATGATGGATTTTTGAGGTGCACCTTAATTCTACATTTTAAGGTTGCAACCTTATATAAACTTTTTCCTTTTTTTAAGAAGGTGTGCATTACATGTTGTTCTCTCTATCAAGGTGTAAATTCTTCACTCTCCTCTCTCAAGGCATACATATTATTCTCTCTCTCTCTCTCTCTCTCTCTCTCTCTTGCTGTACTCATCGCTTCTCTCTCTCTCAAGGTGTACATATTGGTCTCTCTCTATGGTTTTGGTAAATAAGGAATTTACAGTTGTATTGGTTGCACAGATATGGAGAGATCTCAGAGAGCTTGATGGAGTTGGGCAGAACAATCTGGAATTCTGGATTTTTGTGTAGTTTGATGTAATTCTTTTCTTGGACATTTCGGTGTGCAGTTTGTATCTCTATTATTTATTCTTTGTTTGTAATTATTTAAGCTTTGTGTTTTACACGGGAGTTTCCCCACATTTCTTATTTCTTTCTTCTGATTTCATTGTAACAATCATTTCCACAAGAACACATTCAGATGTGTGAGAAAATAAAAATCCAATTCAGTTTCCAATTCTATGGTTTTCTGCCTTTCCTTTTCAGTTCAGTTGTTATTTTCAGTGAAGCACACATTTTATTGCTGGAAAATGATTTTATACGCCAGCTCGCATATGAAACCGTATACGATCAAGGGTTAAGATTAGAAGGGAAGAACATAGGATCTCAATTTAAGTTTTTAAATTTTTATTTTATTTACAAACTTGTTCACATGAAGTACTTATGCGCACTTGATAAAATATAAAAAATAACTAAAAAATAAACCGACCAATAGCTATTAAACTTCGTGGGCATTTTGGTTATTTCATTTGATTTGAATGAGTTTTGTGTGATGTGTTTTAGGTGCGTCTAATTGACTGGACGCTCCAATTTCTAAGTTAATTGAGTTAAGAAGAAGAGAAATTAAAATTCTAAAAGATACATGAACGTAACCATCCTTTTTTTTTTTTCTTTTAATCTATGCAAACCCATCTAACATGAGCCGTTTTGTGCGGGCTGGCATTTAAAATTCTTTTCTTCTAATATTTTGTTCATGAGACACAAGAGTAGGGTGAGAAATAATAGAAGGAAAAAAGTTTATATAAGGTTGACACCTTAAAATATAGAATTAAGATGTACCTATAAATTCCTTTGAAAAAGCTTGTTTCGATGTTCGAAAATTATCTCATCGATCATCTCGACATAAGATGTATAGAAGTGGAGAAACAAAGATATTTCAAAAAATTAATACATCTTGCAACAAATTTATAGACAGTCCATTTTCAAGATTTTTATGTGTTTATAGATCTGTTTGATTTGAATCATTTTAAGTTTAAAATTTTATAGCTAGAGATAAAAATAAATTCTCACACCATCCTAAAAAATTTCAACACCAACATTGCATTTCATAACAAAGTTCCAACATTGCATTTCATAACAAAGTTAGGAACTGCACCTTGTTATAATCGTTTAAGGTTGCAATCTTATGTAAACCACACCCATAATTGAATGATGTGACATTGAGAATGTTCAGCTTGGGACAAGATGCAGGATTGGGTGCTTGGGGTCAACCCCTGTCCTTGCTCAAAGTTCGGGAAGAAATAACACACCCCAGACATGCAATTTTACATCAACCGGCTTGGGTGTAGTGACCTTTGTGCATTGAAGTTAATAATCTTATTGTATTATTATCATAATAGTTTTTTTCAATACGAATCCCAATCCATCATTTTGCTCTATTAAAAATTATATGTTCAATGAAACCCTCAATCCCTATACCTTTTCTCACTACATCTTTTTGAACCTACTTCGTACCCTTTTAACAATCTCATTGTATACAAACCCATAAGAATATCACTAGCAGCTGGCTGTGCTAAGCAGTGATCAAAATATTGCAATGATCATGGGAAAACTCCAAGAGAGATCTTCGGCAATCAAAAAAATTAACATTGTCACCAAGGTGTTATTCATTATACCCACATCTTATTGGGGGCACATATAATATTTACAGCGACAGAAAAACCTATTTTACATGCATCCGGTTCGAGGCAATGGCAATCCTTTCGTCTTGGAGCATATTCAAGTTTGGGGCGAGCAACCGAGTGTAGCGATCGAAGTACAGAAGCTGTTTCATGAGGAGCGCAAACTCTCTCGGGAACTTCAGTCCATATGATTCACTTACTCTAATCTGTTTACCACCAACACAACAAGATGCAGTTATAAACTGTAACATTTGTGTGAGTGTGAGAGAGAGGGAGAGAGAGTAAATAGCTGGGATTCAAATTTCAGGTCATAATAGTGGATCGGTTAAGATACACTCACGATCTGATTTGGGTCGGGCTTAATATGCACGTGCATATGAACACACACAGATTAAGGTACTTTAGTCATTATTGTTGGTTTTTTAATTTTTGTAGCAAAATGGCCTTTTTTTCCCCCTATTCTGTAGTTTTACTTAATTTGCTCAAAGGGATGACGATTCATTGATTTCTTCAAATGATGTTGTATTCGTTTCCATACCACGTCAAGGAATAATGCATTCATCTGCTTCTCATCCATGACCAAATTTGCTGAAATGGAGGCTGCGTTCGAGTTTGGCCCTCTAGCTGTAGTAACAACCACTTCTGTATCCAAATCCTGTGAAAAAAACAATGAAAAAAGATAAAACAAAGCTATCTTGAAATTGAGAGAAAAGTTCAAGGAAATAGTACAAAGGAACCCAAAGAAGATAAGCACAAATTCTGCATGCTCCCTCACTCTCTGGGTGGTTCGGTGGTACAATTCAAATTTGGGACATAGATCTCTCTGTCCCTCTCATACACACATGCACACAGTATAAATGGTATAAAGGGACCAGAAAAAGAGAGAAGAAAGCACATCCTGCATGCCATCCCCTTCTCTCACAATGTAAATGGTACAATGGAGCCTAAAGAAGAACAAAGGAAAAAAACACACTGCATGCGCTTGCCCCCCCCCTCCCTGCTCTCTCTCTTTCTCTCTCTCTCTCTCTCGCTCTTGCCATCATCTCTACATATCACACTCCAGATTGGAAAGCAATGCCTTTATTGTTGAGAACATCTTTTCTAAGTGCGCAGCAAAAAATGCCTCAAGGTCCATTCCAGATTGGAAAGCAATACCTTTATTGTTGAGAAAATCTTTTCTAAGTCCCTAGCAAATGCTTCACGGTCCACTCCTTTTTCTGTAGCATCCATTTCAATCAATGCAGAAGCCATTGGCTTATACTCTTCTGTTGCAATTGATGTCAAAAATATCTCCATCGCAGTCCATGTTCTTGGGGATATACGTCCAACTATACCTGAAATATATTTTTAGAAATGATATATTTAGTACATTGAATATCGATAATAAAGAACAATGATTAAAATGACAAAAGCATCAAAATACATGGCTAAACAATAACCATTTATTAAGAAGACCCATTAAAATTGCAATGTGAAACACAAAATCACTGATTTACAAGTAAAGAAAAGGTGAATCACTGATTTTCAAGTAAAGAAAAGCTGAGCTAAGGCAAGATTGAGGCACTCACTGCACTTACCCAAAAAAAAAAAAGAGGCACTCACCGCAATCACCAGGGTTACTTCTGATGACAGTCTCGGTCTAGAATGGTTATGTGACTAGCTCAATTTAGTGTTTTTTAATGTTTACTTAAGAAAATGAACTCAGAATATATAAGGGCTTAATGTTCTCTCTCAAAAGGTTGCAGCTTTTTCTCTTAATACATACCGAAATCAAGAAACCCAATGCGACCATCACGAAGCAACCACAAGTTTCCTGCATGGACATCTGCATGAAATGTTTCACAAGCAAGCAAGCTTCCAAACCTGGAATATGACAAACCAGAACATTAGAGCATGAGTTAGGATGAGGTAAGACATCCTTTCATAAAAAGTAGAGAGATGGATAGATGGATATTGAGAGAGAGAGAGAGAGAGAGAGAGAGAGAGAGAGAGATTTTAAGATAACGTATAGATCAGTAAATGCGGTTGCTAGATATATTCATACCACACATTGAGAGCCGTTATCAAGCTCGCCTCAGGACTAGGAACCAGTGATCTTATAGATTTGAGGTCGGTAAGAGGAACTCCATAAAGCCTCTCCATTGTCAACACTCTACGAGTGCTGCAATGCTTGTACACCATTGGAGCTTTGGCCTGCATTGTGAGCCCTGTGGTTTCCAAGTATGTTCTGAAGGTCTCTATGTTTATAGCTTCTTTTCGAAAGTCGACCTCTTCCAACATTGACTCCCTTATGTCTTGGACAATACTTACCTAGCATATACTAGGGTCAGATGCAAATGTAAAGAAAAGATAATGGGGCAGCACTAGATTTTCTACAAGCTCTGCAAGGCCTTGCACTATATATACACAAGTGATCAATAGAACGCCTTCAAGTATCAAACAAACTAAATGAAAGCTCCAAGTAACATTACCTTGTAAAATTGGCTGAGCAACAAATTAGTGTAGTGGTCAATTCCTGAATTTTCCAGGATTATTGGACAGTCCCTTCGTAAAGCAATTAACAGCGAGTTGGGTGTCACGACTCTGGATACTTGAATACATGGGTATTACTGTCATCCTACTCTTTACTTAAGCTATTCTTCATATTTGCTTAAATTAGTGAATTACACGTTGTAAGGGCATCATGTCCACAAAATCATCTTGTAGAAGTATAAACATGTGACCCTAAATGATTATTCAGTTAATGCAATGGGAAATACAAGACACCATGCGTTGTGCTTCTTTCCATACTTTTGTCCAACTCCTGTATAAGGGAACAATTGCTTCCAATTACATGAGCATTCTGAAACAGAAATATACTAAAGTTGGCCACTGCAGTTGGGGCTGCATATGGTATAAGGTAAAGGGTGTGGTTTGTATAAGGCCGAGGCCCTAAACAATCAAAGTAAGGTGCACCTTCAAATAGTGTCGAAGATGGTGTTTCAATATTGGAAATGTTTGTGATGGCTTGAATTTTATTTTCATCTCTAATTATAAAATTTAAAGCTTTAAAAATAGTGTAGATCGAGCAGATCTATGAACACTTGAAAAACTTGAAAATTGACAGTCCGAAAATGCAATACATATATGCACCATCTCAAAGACTTGAAATCTATTTTTTCCCATGTCTATAATTCTTCAGGTCAAGATGATCAATTTGAGAATGGTTGAGCATCGAAACAACTTTTTTTGAGGTGCACCATACTTTTATTGTTTAGGGCCTCACCCTTATATAACATTTTTTCTAAAGTAAGAAGGAAGAAAAATGGTGAACAAGAATGCAAATATCACTGATAAAAAAGATAAAGGAAATAAGAAAATCGAAAAGCAAGGACTCATCGAATAACCTGTATTGATTTGATGGGCAATCATATTCTATGTATCCATTCAAAGTAACACTTAGGAAGAAAGTACACATACCAGTGATGTGCGGCGCAGCTCTGGATTCAAGAATTCTAATAGACGAGCCACAATGTACACAAAATTCAGATCTGCAACCAAAATATCCTCTATTCCTGGTTTGAGCACCTTTATCACCACTTCTTGTTTGGAAGCTTTGAGCCTTGCAGCATGAACCTAACAAAGAAATCAAAATCCCAATTAGTAAGATTCTCCAGCTAACCCACCCAAAAAGCAAAAATAAAAAGGGTATATCAGGATAGCACCTGGATGACTGGATCACCTGCCTAGAGCATGCAGGTGGTTCAGAACATAGTTGCCGGGATCTCTTCACATAGGTGGCAATCCCGCTTAGGAATCACGGTACTGCACTTCGGGAAAGGGGTCTTCAAGGGATCTTGTTTTTCAAATTTTCAAATCTCGATCCCCACTGTTAGGGATCCCAATTCATATTGTTAGGGATCCCAATCCCAACCTTAAAGACTAAAACAACAACCAAAATGATGACTTTACTATTTATAGTAAGCTAACAACACAACTATTCTTTAAATATAATTGCATTACTTGTTGGCTATAAATAAAGAGTGCTTTAAAGAGTATATATAGATCCTAGACTAACTCCGACATGGCTGGTCCCAAGCCGGTCGTGCCGGTCCTCGCCGGTCCCAAGACCAGAGAAAGGAAGAGGGTTGTGTTAGATTGGTAGTCGACGTAAAACTTTGCCACATCTATTTTATGAATCCTAATCCTATGTTATATGCAAAATAGAGGAACTGGATTCGTGTAGCCAAACCCAAATAATTGGGATAAGGCTCGGATGATGATGATGAGATAGTCCTAGACTATACATACTCTTTACGAGATCCCTAAAAAGTTGGGACTAAGATCCCGAAAGGTCGAGATCAAGAACCCCTAAAGGTTCGGATTTCGATCCCTAGCATTTGGGGATCTAGATCCCTAACATATGCCTTGTATAGATGTTCTTGCATTCACGATCCCCCACTCCCAATCCCAACAACCATGATTAAACTTTAAAATATCAAATTAGTAATTGGAGCCATTTTTGTAAAGATGACTACTTCACTTACAATATCTTTTAAACTTTAAAATACAGACAAGGAAGCGGAAAGGTAAATCGTGAGGGGCAGAGTAGTCCTTTTAGAAAATTTGACGAGGTCAGGTACTGTCTTGACATTTCAAATCATTGGACCACTTACATGATCCATGCAGGTGTGACTTCCAAAAATACTGCAGGACAGTATTCCAAACAGAAATAAAAATGAAAGACTCGAGCAAAAAATAATGCAAATGCCTTATAGAGGTAAACCTGCGCAATTGAGGCTGAGGCAATTGGCACAGGATCCACATACTCATAGATGGTATCTAATGGTCGTCCCAAATCCTCACGTAATATAGCCTCAATTTGACTGAATGGAACTGCAGGGGCCTTATCAAAGCAATTTTGGAATTCTTCGACATAAGCCTCTGGAAATAAAGTAGGTGCTGATGCTATGAACTGCAGAGTTACAGAAATTAACATGATCAGATATACATATTTAATGAATGTGATCCAAGAAAAGCCAACAGAGAGTTCTGAAACGAACAAGGTAACACATAAATGTGGATCATATAGAACATAGGCATATTAGATTCAATCATTTAATCCATTGCTTTCAATTAGAATTAGAATCGGTCAAATTAACAATAAGAATAGTCTCTAACGTGAAAAATATTGGAAAGCCAGAAAAGTTAAGAATGGCTTAGGTTTGGGGGAAAAAGTAAAAGTTAGAAAACAAGACAATTTCATGTATTTAAGAGACTATATTCGCTCCATGGCGGATAACATTTTTGAAAGAACAAACTGAATTTCTGCTTGAAACTAATTATTGTTATTATTTTTAATTTTTAAAAACGGGAAGAGGAGACTATTCAAATACAAAGCTTAAATCATCTCCCAAAGTTGAATGTTTCGAAGCTCTCACAACCTTAGAACACAAGCCAAACTTTAATTCCAAAATCAAATCTTGTAATATAGTTATCGAACAGTTAGAAGATACATGAAAAGGGATATCCAGAATGAAGAAGAACTGTCAACAATGTAGAACTTAGCCAGTAGTCAAAAACATCCACTAACCACTAACCTGTCCCAATTTGATATATGTTGCTCCCATGCGCTCAAATAGTCGGCGTAGATAAAGAGGTGACAGTAATCCAAGTTGCAATTGAGGTGGGACACTTGCTGATGTATTTGCTGTCTGGAGCGCATAATTGGAAAGAGAAAACTAGAACTATTAGAAGAGTTGCTTTAGAGTCTCAAATTTCTAAGGCTTGCACTTCCGATGTAGAAATTTACATAAATTAGGGGAAAGTTTGCAAAAGCGTTAACTTCAACAAGCCTTGGAATCCATATAAAAGTTAGTTATTAGGATCACCGGAAATAGCTTTTTAGCCCTATCTTGAATTAAGGGTTGTGCTACTTTCACAAAATTATTTCTTGCCCTGTTTTATCGCTCCCAGGACAATTGGTACACCACCAGGAGCTCATGTAAAGCAAAAAGAGTGAGTTACTCCACCACCCAGTTACATAATATGCTTAGCTGGAGACTATCACTATTTCCATCACCAGACATATGCAGATACGTTGTTCAAATGATGAATAGGTTTATTCATACCACACCTCTTCCGATAACCAAATGTTTCATTAGCTACATTTATTTGATTCCTCATTGTTTTAGCGCATCTTGTAATCGACAACAGATATCAAACCAATATTGCCTGCATAAACCATGGCACAGCTTGATGTCTAGATACAAAGAGATGTACCACTGGATATTGCATCTCTCTGGGAAATTTGCTTGTTTCACTATGTAAAGATAAGATGGACTAAACGGCCATTTCTTCATGATAACAATTAAACCGTGAGCACGTCATTAAGTTGACAAACATGTGCTGTACGCGAGATGACCCGATGAAAGTGATCTCAATATTTTTAAGTTAAGCAAAGTGACTAAATACTAAACTAACAAATTGTTAAATAGATTTGTGAAATACACATGATGCAACAAATGAGAAAGTATAAAACTCATTCAAGAAAACTAGAAGAATCAAGATAGAGTTCACCTTTGACACATCTAATAACCATTCCCCACCCACACCAATAACAGCTTGCATGCCTTGGACAAACCTTAATGCCCCACGTGGTCCTGTGTTGATAGAAGTTTGAACAATGTCCTCCACTAACTTGGGCAAGCCATTGATCCTTTCTGAAGTGAAGCACTAGTCATTCTCAAAGTAACCAAAGATGACAAGTAGGAAAACTTTTAAGGCATCATCATCATCATAAGTTTCTTTATGTGTATGTTTGTGTATGTATGCTATGCATGTATATGTGTAGCTGCTACTCCATAATTAGTTTGTCTAAAATAATCGGTGAAAGCAGAGAATATTTCAAATATTGAATAAAAACCAGAGAGGATATCATATAATTATCAAAATCTTGTTTGAGGAACTGCGCAAATTTTATTGAATAAATCAAAGGACATCAATTTTTTCATCAACTGGCCCTGTTCCCAAGAGAGACCTCGAAGACCCAATTCTTGATAATTTGTGAATATATCAATTCTCAACAATCTAAGTAATTTTTTAACTCGTTTTCACACCAAGTACCCATATTAAATCCAGTAAATTCCCAAGAATTCATCAAACTGCATGATGGGAGTTAAATTACACACACAATCCAATCAGAATTCATAGTCGCCAAACTAATTCTTTAAAAAATTAGAAGAGAAAGAAAAATCCACATACAATTGTGATCAAGTTACCTTGAACACGAGTGGAGTAATCTTGTGCTTGTGAATAACGGGCACTTATCCTGTTTGGGGGGCGGTTAATATTCCCAATATGAACCACTGGATTCACAGCTGGTAACTGCAGGTTCACACAGTGATCATTCTTCATTAAAAAGGAACAAGGAAATAAAAATACAGAAAGAGAGCAAGATCACACCTTTCACGCTTTAAGTGAAAATTCGGAACACAGTAGTCAGCTAAACATTAAGAGAAATTCTAAAAAGCCTGAAAACCCAATTTTTATGCAGAGAAAAGCAGTGGGTCAGCTTTTAAGAGATAATTTAGAAAGAAAGCTCAGGTAAACATTAGAGGAACCACTAAAACCTCTCAAAAAAATCACCACTTTTCCCTAAAACATGCATAATTCTCTGAAATTTTAAATTCAAGAGAATTAGGAAAGTAATTCTTAGAAGCCCACTAAACACATGTTGAAAAATATAAAAGACACAATTTTCACCCAGCAAAAACCGAATTTCTCCACTGCTCCGAGAGAAAATTGAGGAAAAAAAAATTAGAGAAAGATGTATACCAGTGGAAATAGGCCATGGGTGACACCCTTGAAAGCTGAAATCACCATTGCCAAACCAATTTTGGTATATTTTTCTTTAATTTTCTTAATCTTTATGCCATGTTTTCGTCTGGTCACAATGTTCGTCTGGTTCACGTATTTTCTTGGGCATTTATCACCAAGACTCGCAGGCACGAGAGGTTCATTAAAATTATGTCTAAAACACCCTCAATAATTTTAGTGTATGACGAAACATCCTCGTCATTCTTTGGAAATTTACAAATGCTACAAATTTCTGATTTCTAAAAAAACCTTAATGATAGATTTGAAATCTATTTTCATTGCCAATTATGAAATTTATAGCTCTTGAAAATAGACGAACAAATAATCACTATTAGAACTTGAAATCTTAATTTTTTTTCTTACCACCATAATGGTCAATTTGGATGTTTTTTTGACACTGAAAAGTGCAATTTGAGTTTGGACTTTGGAGATATAAGTTACGCCTTGTTTTAACCTCTTTCCATTTCAAAATGACCACCTTCGACTTGGTGATGAGAGGGATAGTTGGGTGACTGGGCCGCTCACTTTCAAACCAGTGTCGAAAATAAGTTTTAAAAATTTGGTAATATGGATCGAAATTGTCTCATCTGCATTGAAAATCATCGATAGCAATCCAATGCCCGCCATATATCATGAACCGACTGGGTACCTCTTCCAACCGGTCAAATCTCTAACAAAACCATCCGACTCTATTAGGAACCGGCCGAATTTGTCAAAGCCAAAACCAACCTGTTCTGGTTTGAACTGGTTTAAACGAGAAAATTTAGCCAATCGAATGCTACACACACTGATAAATGTGCACCACTCAATAACTCACGCGTATTGTGAAGCTTTTATAAGTGTTTTTTTTTATTCAATTTTCGTTGTAGAACAAATTAGTTTCATTTCTTCACACCGTACGAAAAACGAGCCAAAAATTTCATGCGGGTACTTTAGGTCTTTCTCTCTACTAACCACCTCTCTCTCTCTACTAATAATCTCTCTCTCTACAAACAATCAACTCCATTAAAACTTTATCTCTCTACTAACAACCTCTTCTACTAGGTTTGTTCTCTATAATTTCTTTCAAAAATCAAAACTCCTAAATTAATACAAAAATATAAAAAATAAATTGAATTAGAGAGACTCATTTTGTTATCATATTGCATTTTGAACTTTACTTTGACTATAAAATGAATTTAATATATAACAAACACTCAACATGAAACAGGTTCTTAGTATTTACATATGTTTGACCCAATAATGAAAAACTATAATGCAATTGTCACTATTTCTTTAAAAAACCTAAAAATCTAAAATTTTGAAAAATTATAGTGAACCTTTTATTTTTTATTAGGCTGAGATCAACCAATCCGACTGATTCTCCGATCTGATTTGCCGATCCATCGATCCGGGTCGCCAATCTAGGTGGCTGATCTAGGTCAGCGATTTATTTATTGTTAACTTTTGTTTAGAAGTTTAAAAGCACGGAATGGGGTGCTAACAAAGGCATGCTTGCTGAGATCAATTGTGTCGGTTCTAAATGTTGAAAAAAAAAAGGAAAAAAACATGAAAAAAAAAATGAAAAAGTCGTTCGAGATTTGAGAGTCGTCGGAGTGCGCTATGGGATGGTTCTCCAGTGACCATCATCCAAATTTGGGAGCTCCAGGGTCCAATTCTGGTTTAGTTTTAAGTTTCAATCATCCGGATGAATTGAAATGACAAGCTCTACCTCTCTCTCGCATGTCATTATTAAAGTCGTACACTCTTAGGTCAAAATCGTATTTTATATTTGAATTTGAATTTTTTTTTATTAATCTATATCACTTGAAATTTAGAATATTTATTTTTAAAAAATAGACGTACCTAATAAAAATATTTGAAAAATAAATTAAAAAAGATACCCCTAAAAGGTTTTTAGGTATTCACATCAATTTATTTTTTTTAAATTATTTTTATTATGTACATTTTAATGAAAAGGGTAAATGTTCCAATACTTTTATACAAATCTAAATCACTTTAAATACTTCTAAATTGAATTTTACTAGGAGCAAAATAATGTATAAAGAGTTACACAGTGAAGCCACATCAATAGCACCTACCTCCCCCCTTGTCTCTATCACCTTTCCCTCCATTTCTCTCAATGAAATAAATGCAGCCACCCAATTTCACATCTAATGATCAAAATTAATTTTGATCATCTTATACCAAAGGTAAATGCAGCCACCTTTATACAAAGAAATCACAATTTATTTGTTTGTTAGATTTAAAAACAAATTTTCTTGAGCTTTACAAATACTCTAAGCTATCTTACTTACTTAAGATTTGATGGCTAGGATCAATTATGACCTCATTAGTCCAAGTATAAATAGTCTTATGGTATATAATCCCTTTATAAAATTATAAATGAAACCCAAAAATTTGGAAATGTGAAAACTTTACATATGACCCTTATGTTTAGTCATCAAATGAATAAATAGCTAGAATAACTTGAATCACAATGTCACAAGTTGGCTCTTTAAATCGTGCATACATATAAGGGAAAAGTTTACATAAAATTACAATGTCACAAGTTGGCTCTTTAAATCGTGCATACATATTAGGGAAAAGTTTATATAAAATTGCAACTTTAAAATGTAGAATGCACCTCAAAAATATATCGGAATATTGTTTTAATGTTGAAAAAACCCTCTAATCAATCATCTCGACATCGAGATCTATTAATATGAATATAAAAAAAGAAAATTTTGAATCCCAAAAATAGTGCTTGTTGCAATATATTATCTAGACCGTCCATTTTCAAGATTTTCATATATTTATAGATCTGGTTAATTTTAACCATATTTGAAGTTTTCTAATTAGGTATGAAAATAGATTTTTAGATAATACTAAGAATTTTTTATAACAAAATTACATTTTGTGATAAAATTTTAAGGTGCACCTTATGTTTAAGGTTGCAACCTCATAGAAACCGCACCCTACATATAATAGGGGAACATTATTAAAAAAAAAAAAATTGATGATAAAAATATCTCCAATGCTTGTAAGGGCTCTTTGGTCACGAGAAATACTTTTCTCTTTTAATTTTGGTAAATACATCCCAAAACATATAAGCAATAGAACAAAAACCCAGAAACTTTTGATCATAGTAAAGTCCAAACTTCAAAATTTTACCTAATTTATATTCAAAACAACCATCCCCTTAACAGGATGGGCCAAGACATCTATATATAACATCTCTCCCCTCTACGCTAATCAACTCCAAGGCCTCATAAAGAAGAAAAGAACAACACTTCTGTTTTTTGTTTAATCTCACAATAATGCTCAACTTTGATGAGTCTGTCTCTCTATCATAAGATTTGAGCAGCAGTGTTCAATTTCTCTGCCAAGCCCAGTTGTGTCCTGGTGAGGCTTCCCAAATACAACACCAACAAAAGATCCTAGACAAAGAAAAGGAATTAAATAGGAAATAAAACAGGAGAAGGAAATAACAAAGGGAATGATATGTTTCACATAAACCCATCATGGTACACTACTCTAGAAGGATATAGCAAAGAAATGAAGGAGATAAGGGTGGCAACGGGCTGGGTCTGGGCCTGGGCCTGGGCCGAGTACAGCTTGTCCTTAGGGCTAGCCCTAATAGGCCTAGGGCCGGAAAGAAATGAAGAAAGAACAGGAAAAAAAAACCAAGAACAAAAGAGGGCCGGTCCAGGTCAAATTGGGCCCAGCCTTGGCCCTTAGGCTACATTTTGTAGCCCAGGCCATACTTTTGTAGGGCCGCCCATTGCCAGCCCTAGAAGAAGAAAAGAACCATGAAAAAACAGGGGCATGGAGAGGAGAGCACCTGTAAGCTGTCATTAAAGAGTTTATCAAACGCCGCAGGTGACATCCTTGGAATGGAAGCAACAGTATCAGCTAGGTACTTTCCAATGCTATTATCAGTAGGTATGCGACCTTCCTGCAAAAACATAGAAATCCAACAATTGAAATCTCACCAAAAGGCCAGAGAGAAGGCGGGAGAGAGAGAGACAGAGAGAGACAGAGAGAGCCAACCACAACATCATCTACATATTTGTAAACTTCATCGATAAGAACAATGAGTCTCTCCATAGAAGCCTCCACTCCTTCCAAGTCGTTGGGAAGCTTGTCCACTGTTGTTTTTTTCAAAATGTCAACTGCAATGCGTGGAAAATTAACTTCTTGAGAACCTCATACAGGCACACAAGCATGGATGCACAATATAAACATATTTAGAATACAAATAGATGAAACATTTTTAAATGGAAGAGAGTTGGTTTTAGAAATGGTCCGAAATTGAGAGCTGCAAATTCGAAGAAAATTCAAAGTTGGAGTAAAAATCGGTTCAGAAGCTAATAGAAAAATATGCCATCCAATTCCGGTGTGAATTCAGCATGAAACTAGACAAATTACGAGAAATATTTCTAAAATATATTTTCATAATTTTTCAATTTAAATCAACTCAACTACTACAAGTATTTCTCAGATACATGCAACTACTACATAGGAAAACAGCTAATATAGATGAATTTTCATATCCATAACTATGGCAGAAAGTTTGTTTGTCATCACCGGCAGAGAGCCTCCAAGGGCTTTGCAACTGCTACTGTGATAGGTTAGCAATTGAAATATATTATTCAGTACCTGCTGGTATTGCTCCCAAAAGAAAACATCTTTGAATGAGAAAGACCAAGCATGGAACTTAGATATTTAATTTTGATAATTATGAAATCTTAGGACATTCAAATATCAAACAAGATAATATACATCTACGTAATAGATCCAAAACGATTGCGAGCTTTTCAGCAGAACTAAACTAGGAAATCCAAAGTCACACAAACTCACAGAACTCAAATAGTATCAGTTCTGCTAGTGACTCATGTGGTTTGCATAAGGTTGCAACCTTAATCACTCAAAAGTAAGGCGCACCTCCAAAAATGGTTCAAATCAAGCAGATCTACAAATGCATGAAAATCTTGAAAATAGACACTCCAGATAGTGTGTTGCAAGATGTGCTATTTTTAGGAATTGAATTTTTTTTTTCTCCATATGTATACATCATGTTGTCGAGGTGATCAATTAGATGTTTTTCAAACATCAAAACAGCCTTTTTCGAAGGATTTCAGAGGTGCATCTTAATTCTACATTTTAAGGTATCAACCATATATTAAATTTTTCCTTCAGATAATATATGACTTTTATAAATACCAGCACCCGTTTAAAGAATCTCACGTGCAGGACATGTAAGACTGAAACTACTAATAGATTTGACACCAAATTGCAGGGGACATAGGAATAGGTATTAGTTAGAATAAAACCCACATCCAACGCGTTCTGCTTCAAGCATTCGCAAATCAAGAGGGACTTCTTGAAACTGTGCTGCAAGCTGCCGATCTCCAACAGACAAGTTCACTCCCACGTATGCTTTGATGCTAGCCTCCCCACTGCTAAATCCAGTATCCACAGTTAAATGAACAGGATTTGCCACCTCTCTGGAATAGAACTCATGAATCAAAGCGCTCCCACCTGACACTCCAGAACCGGTAGAGTACCTGCATTCATGCAGTGAAAATCAAATTCTCTCTCTCTCTCTC